AAATCGTATTATAACATCGACAGTGACAAATAATAAAATAGAACATTAAAATCGAGATGTGTCTCGCTGCATTGCGCGAGTATTCTTCTAATTAAAATTAAAAGAAAATAAACTAATTAATTAAGGATAATCATGTGATTTTGTATTTATCTGTAATTTTGGTGGCATCCTTATCTTTAAAAACACATACAGATAATATGTTAACCGATGTCAAATAATTGTCACATTATTATCACAACAAAATAACATAATAAACAGACAGAGCGGTGAAAGTATACGTGATCATCACTGGTTTCCAATTATCATAACATTATCGCATCGCTATCGCAACAAAAATCACATAATTATAAGATGATTATCTCATCAAAATCACATCATTAAAAGTCTTTCAACTTATTAAATCATTATCACATTATTATCATGAGAAAATCAAATAATTATCACAGTATTATCACATCATTATTGGCAACAGACACATCGACATAAAAACTATTTGATAATAATAACAAAATTTAAGAGAGAATGATAAATCTATGATAATAGAAATCTATGGATAAATATTAATTAATTTTCATCTATTCATTTATTTGCGTCTCTCATATTTCTGATAACGATCGACTAGTGGATGTTCTTACGAAACCGTTGCTTGCGTCTCATTTTCATTTTTCTACTCTCCATAATCAAACTTGTCCCTTGATCGTCCGTCTTGTGGTGACGTGTTAAGGATAACAATCTTCACTTACATCATAATCATAGTCACAATTGAAGGTGTTTACCAATCGTACATATTATGTTTTAGTTTTAGTTTTAGTAAGTATCCGTTGTTTATTAATTTTATTTTGTAGCCTTATTTAATATTACTATAGTTATATCACATCATACTACAGTAACAAATTATCAACTTAACTGGTAAACGGTACACTTTAAATAAACAAAAGAGTAAGCTAGGATTTTCATCCTCATGGTTTGTGTCGTCCCTGTGATTTTGAAATTACAATTTTCGTACCTATTATGATTTATAATTTATTGTTGTTTTCGTCTCATTTATCTATAATTTATCATTGTATTCGCCCCTAACATTCAACCCATTAAAAATTCTCCATTGAACTTGGATATTTTTGTCTTTCTTTTAATTTTTATTCTTTTCGGTTTATTAAATATTTGGTTTCTCTTTTTGGCATTTTAGATTTTTCAATTTAATAAAACTATATATTTTTTAATAAAAGAATTAATACATTCCAAAATCACACTATGTTATTGTAATTTTTGATAAAATAATACAATTCATTTTTATATATTTTTTTTGTCATCATAGTTAGGAGTGTTCAAAAACCCGACCAATTCGATTAACCCAATTCAACCCAACGCGAAAGAAACCAACCCGAAGCAACCCAATGTCTAATCGAGTTGTAAAATTGTTAAACCGTAGGTATTGGGTTATTATTATTTGAACCCAACTCAACCCGACGAACCCGATATCCTTTTATTTCTTGGATTCAATATGATTGTTGAATTTATATTAATATATACATTAGACAATTACACTATCATGTATGATTTTCATATACACATATTTTCAATCTATTCACATCTCTATATAACTCATTCGTATATATGTTCAGTAACTGTGAACATATATATGTAAATTGAGAAAATTAGCTAAATGTCATATACGTAAGAAATATAAATAAGTTGTAAAAAAGAAATTATGAGTAGAGATGATATATTCAAAGTTAGAAGAATATTTTAATGTACCAAATTATCAACCCGTATGAGTTGTGTTAAGATTTTTTCAAACAGCAAACATTGGGTTAGATTGTTTAAATGTCTTCAACCCAATTAACTCAACCTATAAGCACTCCTAATCATAGTTGTAGATTTTTATAAGTTCAATTTATACCACTAGAATCACTCAGGTGCAAGTTGTTGAATATATTTCTCATATAAAAATATCTAATTCTTTTTTCTTTCAAACAAACAATTAATTATTTGTAGGAAAATGTACAATTATTTAGTCAGATAAGTCATACCAAAATGTATTTAATTTCCCCAAAAAATACGACCTTGTAATATCCACATTAAATATATTATTCAAAACAAAAGCACATCCATTGCGCATTCAACAATTCTTTGTATTTCAAATAACCAAAAAGGTAAATATCAAAATGAACAACATAGAAAAGAGGGAAAAAAAAACATTGGAAAAAAAGGTTCAAATTATCATCAATCTGAACCAAGCTTATTTTAGCCATCGCTATTAATATTAAAAACAAAAACACAAACCTACAAATATTCCCCAGGTGGCATAAAACCCCCCCTCTCTTTCAGACCAAAAACAATTCCCAGCATTCACAGTCATCAAACACTTCATGCTCTCAATATTTGTAATCCTTAACGTGAAGGCTCTCTGACGCCGCCTCGCTCAATGCACCGCCCCCCTGATATTTCCCCAGTGTTGCCTCTGAGTTCGCTTTGCACCTAGCCAGAAACGCCTCCTGAGCCTTCTTCACATTCTCATCCTTTCCAGCCCAAGCCTTCAGGGTGCTCTGCTGCAGGGCTCGCCCAAAGGAGAACGATAGGCTCCATGGCTTCTTTCCCTTGTACTGGTTCATGGCGTTCAGGTTCACGGTGGCCTCCTCCTCGCTCTGACCACCAGACAAGAACACCACCGCTGGGACGGCTGCTGGCATTGTTCGTTGGAGGGCTCGGACTGTGTACTCGGCCACGACTTGAGGTGCAACCTTCTTGGAGTCGGATCCTGGTGTAACCATGTTGGGTTTCAAAAGGGTACCCTCCAGAAGCACGTGGTGGTCGTTAAGAGCCTTGTAGCATGCAGCTAGGACACGCTCGGTCACGTCGGCGCATTTGTTGATGTCGTGGGGTCCGTCCACGAGAATCTCAGGCTCGACAATGGGAACCAGACCGTTCTCCTGGCATATCATGGCATAACGGGCCAACCCATAGGCGTTTTCGTTGATGGCAAGCTGGGATGGCTCATTGGGGCCGATCTTTAAAACGGCACGCCACTTGGCGAACCGTGCCCCAGCGGAATAGTACTGAGCACATCGTGCGCCAAGCCCATCAAGACCTTGTGTGGTGGTCTCCCCGTTGGTTCCAGCAAGCTCCACCGTGCCCTTGTCGACCTTGATTCCAGGGAGGACATTAGCCTCCTTCATGACATCAACAAAAAGCTTACCTGCAACAAGTTTATCAAGATTACTTCAATCAAGAGGGTGTTCTATTTCAACTTAATAAGATTAAAATACCTTAATTGGAGCTGTTTATCAAACACTTACCAAGTGCTTACTAAGTCACATTAATGGGTAAATACCTTAATTTTTTTTTGTCATTCTAAAAATAGTTATCAAACAATTAATTTTCATTCAACGTTTACATTGAGAAAAGATAACAACGAGTTTTAACAAAAGGCCAGGTTATGTTACCTGCAGCAGTTTTCTGGTAGAGTGTTTCCTCGAAAAGAATGACTCCACTGAGGTATTGGAGGCAACCGGGAGTGCAGAATAGAAGCTCACGGAGGGCCCTCCTGTTCGACTCAACGTTCTCAACGTTGATGCTGGAGAGACGCTTTCCGATTGTGCCAGTTGACTCATCAGCAGCAAGAATACCCTTTCCAGGTGTGCCAATGTGGGTAGCATTGGCAATAAGCTCATCTGATATAAAGAAGAATATTCATTACATATTAATTTGAAAATCTGTGAAGGATCTCTACCACCTTTATTGCATATACTGATTTTGTTCTATTACCGGACTTAAAACTGCATTGGTTATAAAAGAAAACTCAATTCTCTTGATCCACAAGAAAAGGTACACCAGATTAGAACAATAAAAGGATAACAAACAAACACCAAATCGAGATTAGCAAGATCAAAATGAATCGTTCATAAGAACAATCATGTGACGAAGACTCAATGTTTCAACATCGAACAAAATACAATACGATGCATCACATACACACAATATAACGAGATATTATGGCAGAAATCAATCGCTTGGGCAGATGCTCGTGAGGCAAATCATGTATCCAAACTACGGAGCCTAGATACTCCCGATTCCATACATTTATACCAAAATAATCATGTTAAAGATCATATAACAGCTGGCCCCGATCAGATCTACGGCAACCATCTTCATTGAATCAATGGCTAAAAAAATATCAATCAGCTGAGCCGATCACCAGAATCTAAAAAATCAACCAACACATACACAAAGAAATTTTCACGAATTACAGCATTAAAAGGGACGAAACAGAGATCATGCTAATGATCAACAAACAAAACAGAAAAAAAAAAAAAACAAACAGCGGATCGAATCAAATATAACAAGAATTGAACAAGAAAAAACGATCTAAAGATGAAATCAAAGGATATATATATAGCTTGAGAAATAGGAAATCATACCAGCATACTTTCCTCTATAGCAAGACATGGTCGTGAGAATTGAAAAAATGGAAGTTGGGGAGAAATCTGGAAATGATACGAGAAAGCGTAGGTTTAAGGGTTTATATTTAAAGAGGTGACGATCGGAATTTTCGGTATTTTCTTTTTGCCCTTTTCTTTTTGTTGGCTGTTTTATAAAACCGGTTTCTATGGCGGTTTTCAATCTCTTTGACCAGTTTGGCCCTCTCTTTTCTTGCCCATCAAAAAAACTTGATCGCCTCTTTTTCTACGGTTTTGTTTGGTAATCTTTTTTTATTTTTTATTACAAAAAAAAGTATTCATACAATACAATAAGACAGTTATTGATTTTAACATTTCATTTTATTCTGTTATCTATCGATGTTATAATACAGTTTTATATGGTTCTGAGAAAAATATAATGTTTTTATTTTTTTAAAGAATATAATTTTGAAGATATCTTAAATTTTTTATAAAAATATATCGACATTAGTATCAAATTAACTATTTAAAGGTTATTGTTTTGTTGTATAATTTCTTCAATTTAATTTTTTATTATAATTTAATTTAGGTTTTATAACGAAATAATTTATTTTTGATTTAATAATATAATTTTTTATAAATATAATAATTAAGTATTATGTTATAACACACTAATTATCTTAATTATATTTTAGATTTTTTATATTTAAATAAAATGCTTATCTAATATTTAATTATGTTTATCTGCAGTTAAATATACGAATTCAAGCATGAGATTTTAATAAGTTGTACTTATATATTATTTACTTGTAATCTTGAATTTTAAGTAATATGCATCAATAAACAGTAATTCATATATAAAAGATGATTTTTAATATTTTTTTGCAAATGTTTTATAATATAGTATAGATTATATTATTAATTATAAGACATAGAAGTTAATTACTTTTTATAATTATTAAAAATAAAATTGTCATTTAATTTATTAAAAACTTAATAATTACATGTTTTTTTAAAAAAATTATGTACGACACTTATTTTGAGACAGGGAGTAACTCAAAAATTAAATAACCATTATTTTTAGTGAAGTAATTGTTGACTCGCAATATATCTTTAGTTAGAAGGATAGTTGGTTGATAAAATAGTTGTTGATTGACAATTTAATCAAAAATTAGGGACCGTTTACTTAAATGCTTACATGGTAAGTGTTTATCATTAGGAGTCAATACTGTAATTTATTTTACAGGATAAGACTGTAATATATCAAAATGATATTGTATTCAATAATTTACCCGGTAAGCGTTTACCCGAGTAAGAGTGGTTATCCTCACTTACCGAGTAAGACTATTCATCTTTATCATTGCTCTTATCGGATAATTTTTTTTTATTATTGTCATGTTCATCAAGTAAGGAAACAAGCACTTATCGAGTAAGCGTAGTAAACGGTCCCTTAATCACTGATTTGAATTTAAAATTAAATTGAGGATGTAAATTTAATATAATTCACTAAAAAAATCCGAAATTGATGTTAAATATAAATGTTTATCAATTTATAAAGTATTTTTGTTGTACTGATACAACTCAACGTTTATTTTATATTTAGACGTGTTTATCAGTTCATTTTATGAGATTCGAAAAGAGTCTTCAAACATGATACGTACGTAACAATAAACCATAAACTTGAAATTTTTCATATATGTATAATTATTCTTACCGTTTATTTTTTCTGTGTTTTACATTTTAACAAGTATTAGTTTGAATATTCGACGTAAAAACATATCTGAGGTTTAAGATTTAAATCTCATTAAATATAAAACTAATACATAAGTTCATTTGAGATATACAAAGATTATATATGTAAAAGAAGACAAAGTATTATGTGAGTAGGTTAGTTAAAGTAAGAAGCGTAAGAAGGGATCTGAATTCTTGATCACCTATAATCTCAAATTCATCCATGAATCATATTCGATATCAAAATCGATCAATACATTTTGGTACATCTCATCTTAATGTATATTCAATGATGGAAATTTTAAATTATAAAATAAGTAAAACTAAAGTAACCAAAAAAAGAATTAACTTTTAAATTAAAAAAATAAAACAAAAAAAAAAGTGTGAAAACAAGGGGTGGTAATTAATGAAAACAATATGCGACGTCCCCATAGCTTCAACTCACGTGGTTTACGATAGAAACGTGCAACAACCCCAAACCGGATGCACTTTCCTCGTGAGGCTCAAATTCAATGTTTATATCGTATACATTATTAGGGTTTAAAGTTTGAGACTCATTATAAAGAAAGAAAAAGACGGTTATAATTAATGAAAACTTCGTATATTATGATAATTGTAGGAACGTTTACTTTATTGTATTGTTTATATGATTTTTTCTCGTACTTATTTATATATTGATTAACACATATTTATTTTACAATGTATTTGTTTCATATCACCGTATATATTTGGTTTAATGTGAAACTTTTTTACATGTATTTTTTTTTTCATAAACATGTCAAAAGGTTTTTACATTGACAAATACATGTGAAACAAATATATGAAATAGCATATTAATGATGTAGTTTTTAGGGTTCTCAAATAATTAGTTTGTTATGAATAATTCATATTTTTTAAGAATACAAGTGTTAAAAGAATTATGTACAAATATATAATTTATATAAAATATTTCTCTTTTATGATATTCATATTTTAAAACATCTGTTGTAGATGTTTTCTTAAGCTAACTGATGAACTAATCATATTTGATAAAAACTAATTGATAAACTAGATATGTATATAAATTATTTTAGAATAATGTGTCAAAAAATTAATCAGTTTTAATTTAAGCCCTATAATTAAAAAATAATGGGAAAAAAAAAACTTTAGCTATTGAAAAAGCTAACTTACAAACTTAAAAAATAAATAAAAGTGTTAAAAATAAAAAGTTACTTAATGATCTAAAATAAAAACCTTGGGTTTGGTGGAGTTGATGGTTTTCATGTTCTTTGTTCCATATTCCAAGAGGGAGAAATGTTAAATTCACATTCTTGACCATGTTTGTGAAACTAAATACGTTGAAGTCATCTTTTAGTGTAAATGGAAAAGGGATGGTCATGCTCAATTGATCCCACCAAGAAAATTTGTTAATTTAGAAAAAAATAGAAAATAATTATTTTTTAAATAAGGGAGACAATTTTGAATCAATCGAACTATTAACATGCATGTGTAATAATTACACTCAGTTGGTTTTTATTTTAAAAGTTTGGTGCCATTTGGTTCGTAGAATTCGAAGAAATTTGATAGAATTAGAATGTCAAATTCATTTGATCAAATTTCAATTCTTTTGTTTGGTATATTTCTTGAAATTGATAGAATCCTTTAAATTCTATTGAATTCCACAAATTAATAAATTCATCATTTCTTGACATAATGTAAGTAATTGAATTTCATCACTCCTCACCACGACCATGCTACTATTGTTCCTCATGCCCCACCCCTAACCCCCCCCCCACCACCAAACCACTACTGCCACTGCCACCCACCACCACTCCACTGCTGTCGTCGCCACCCATCACTAACCACCATGCCATTACTGTTGTCATCACACCCACCCACCCCCGACCACTTACTACACATCGCTACTATGACCATGCTACTGTCGTTACCGTCACACCCCTAACCTAACCCCCACCACCACACCATTATTGTCGCTATCACAATTGTCACTCATCCCCACCCCACCTCAACCTACCACTAACCACCATGCAATTACTGTCGTCGTTATACCCACCCACTCTCAGCCATCCGACCACCATCCCACCACTGTAATTGTGACATCTGCCACTCATCCTCACCGCCCTCCTCGCCACCCATCCCACCCATAACCTAAACCCCACCCTCACACCATTATTGTCGTCTTCACAAGTGCCACTCACCCATACCCCATGCTACCCTAACCCACCACTAAACACCATGTCACTATTGTTGTCATCATACCCACCCACTCCCAGGTCACAGCGATAATAGCAAGGGTTTAGGTAGGGGTGCGGCGGGGCGATAACTGTGACGACGATAATAGCGCCATGTTGGTTGGTAGGAGTGATGGGTGAGATAGTCCAAACAAAGACGATTTCTCCAATTCTATTGAGAGATTTCATTCCAATTTCTACCAGCCAAACGCGTGGTCAAATTTCATTACAATTCCTTCAAAGTCAAATTCCTTTGATGGATTCCAATTCCATCAACTTCTATTTTGTGAACCAAACACCCTCTAAGGGGTTTAACCTGGAAAATTGGAACCAATTTGAAGAGGGTTCATCTTCTTCTCGTGCTTTCCAGAGAATGAGTTTTTAAAGTGTGTATGTATTATGCTTTAAGAAGAAATTGCCATTTGAGAGAGAGTTGAGTTTTGAAGTTCTTAGCTTGGGGATCCTCTTTTAATTATTGGTAAGAACCTTTCTCTCTAAGCATTGATCTCCTTGTTTTCATGTTATGTTGGAAACTTTTGAAAAGGAAGTTTGTTTTATAAAAGCATCTTGTTGGTAGTTTGATAGAGGTCTTTGAGTAAGTCTTAATTCTAAGTTCTTTTGTTGATCATCTTTTATGGAGGTTATTTCTATATTTCATGAGTTATGGTATACCTCCATTTATTAGTTAGTTTAATCTTGTTGGTGATTATGTGAAGTTTTGGTTTTTAAGTTGTGATTTGGAAGTTGTTTGGATTCCAAAAGTTGTTCTAGAAAGATTTGGTTATGAAATTATGGGGTTGGAGTTTAAATTTCGAGCAAAAATCTTGGTTTGGTGCAGGTCATAGCAGGTTGGAACAGGGGCAAATCTTTGTAAAATTTTGATCTTTTTATTGGACTATAGCATTACTTCTGGTATAAATTAATATATTAACGAGCATATGGACATTATGTATATTTGGACTATAGATAATCAAGTTGGACATAAGTAGACACTTATGGACTTAGGACTTATTAATCCCCATAAGTAGTTTTAAACCCATAARTGACAGTTTTGGATATTCCTCTTTGATAGGGAATCGTTAAGCTCATGTGGTGACCAGATCGTATCTTTAATTTGCGGAGCTTTGCAAAAGAATGAGTTTTCACAGCCTCTTTTTACTATTTT